AGGCAGGCACTTGAGCTACACCCCCAGCCCCACACTGGGTCCTTAACAGGGAGGGGCACTGTGGGGTATTAGGGCACTAAGGTGTTCTTCCTAACAGCAGTGCTTGCCCCGTGTACTCTCGCCTGCACACCACCTATGAGCCTTTCTAGGTAGGCATGCTATTCTTTCCATTTTACAGATGGAGGAGCTGATGGAGGCCCACAGAGGCAAAGCGGACTCCTCAAGGTCTCACAAAGTGGCAGAGACAGGATTGGAACCCGTGCACTCTGGGGCCTGGTCCACGGGCTTCCCTTTAGGCTATACTGTCTTTACAGCCATCTGTCTACTGTGGAACCCACTAGCCACATGTGGCTATTTGGGTTTCTGTGAATTACGATGAAATGGTTAAAAATTCCATGCTTCTGGGAACATCTCCAGGGTCCAGTAGTTGCCTGTGGCCAGTAGCCGCCGTATTAGACAGAGGAGATGCAGGGTATCTTCATCATCACAGAGAATTCCTCGGATGGCATTGCTCCGTGAACGCCCTTCTACGCAGTACGATTTAACGTCTGTTTGGAAGCGCAGAAGCTGAGTCTGTGATTCCGAGGCACGCGGGCTGGAGTTCTGTGATTCTGAGGTACCCCCCTCCCTGCCCCATCCTGATGCTCAGCGACTTCTTAGTGTCCAGGAGAGCCCAAAGGAGGCCCTTTATGTTTTAAGGGGCTGGCTGTACTTTTCCATCACCAGAGTCCTTCCAGAGGGTGAGAAGTGACCTCGGTCTCGGGTCCTGCTGGCAGCTAAGGACAGGTTTTCAGCCATCTCTGGAGCAAATAAAAGCTAAAGGAAAGCACTCGATGTACGGAACAGGCAGCAGCGGGGGTGCAGGCATCTGCGTCTAGGGGCCACCGAGCCAAGGGCAACACCCCCTCCCCACCCAGGGCAACCCCCTTCCAGCGCCTTGGGACAGTTCAGGCCAACTGGGCTCGTTCAGGTGGCACCTGGGAGGGAGCAGATGCTAAGCTGGAGAACAGGCCTGTGTTGGAGGCAGGGTGGCCGCTAGGTCCTCACCCAAGCCAGACATTCTCGCACGAGGCGCTGGCTGTCCATCAGCAGGTCCCTTCCTTGCTAGGTTCCTATCTTCCCATCTGTACCACTGGACTTCAGTGGCGCCGGATTATGAAGCCACTCTGGGAAGAATGCGTGCAATGTGAGACACCGAGGAGGGAGTTTTCACTGGACACTGGTGTACGCAGAGGTAGTTGATCGGCTCCCTGGACACGCTGGGCCTAGGTGCAGCAGGTGGAAGAGTGCAGCTGGCCATCCAGATGCTGGCTTTTGCCCCTGAGCTCTGGCCCGTTGGTGTACCCTGCTGGCTTTGCAGGGTGGCCCTAGTGTCTTTGGCTGGGGGTGTTGTGGGGGACATCAGAAGGTATCTGGTGGCTGCACAGGAGGACAGCTGGATTCTCCAGGCGGCCCTGACCTCCCTTCCAGCCCCACCTGTCACTGAGAAGGGTTCTGAATTGGTGAGGTCGCTCCGCCACTGGGTGGAAGCTGAACTGTGGGAAGTAGCCCCTCCCCTAGACACTGCGTTCTGCTCTTAACCGTCCCTGGTTCTCCCACCCGTATTTTTTTTTTTCCTTTTCAAAGTTTTATTGATAAACATATAGCAATGAGACAGTTTCAAATCAAATCGAAAGTACAGTTTCAACAAATAATACACTGCATATATTCTTCTTAGTGGTTAATTGCTGTACAAGATGCAGACTTGTGATCCTACTTACAAACACCATTAGAAAAAATCATTCTATTCATTAAGAGAATGTAACTGTATATCTATCCCAACCACTTTGAATACACAGATACAAAATGGACATTCATAGTTATACCCCAATTTTTTTTTAAGTTCCGTTGTTGAATATTATAGGTGTGTAAACTCAGCAAAATATTCTAAAAGAGTGCAGAAGCCCATAATAGCATTGGGTCTTCTGTTTAATTGGCAATGTCAGAAATTATTGACGTGAGTCCCCCACAGCTCAATATAACAAAATGGCTTTACTTCCTATATTTCATCTTCATACTTTTCTACTGGATGGTTAAGACCAAGGTAAAGCAGAACCTATGCAACAAGAGTTGTAGCTTTTTGGTTTGAGAAGGTCAGTGAAATGCCCTCAGGATTTATCCTGAGATCCTGTACCTCAGACTGTAGAACCTTTGTCAGTGCAGCCATGTCCCACCCGTATTTCTGAGTGATAACCCCACGAGGGGCAGCTGGGTGCAGCATGGCGGAGGGCGAGGGCTTCTGCCTCAGCCTCACACTCCCATAGGAGGGTGAGACTCGGACCCCTCTAAGCCTGCCTGCCTCCCCGTGCTGTCACAAGATTCTGAGGGGACAGTGTGCACGTGAGAGTGTTTAGAAACCATAAAACACTGCAGCTTAGAAACAGATGGGGTGGCAGAGAGCATGCTGCGCAGCTGGGGGCAGGAGACAGGACAGCCGGAGCAGCCATAGAGTGAACCTCTCCTGGCCACGGATGGCAGTGGTGTCCCTTGCTCAGACAAGGGACCTGGACTTGGGAACGCTGGCCTGTCTAGCTCCCTAGCCTGAAGCTTGTTCCATTTCCAAGTCTACCCAGGCTGCCCCTCCACTGGCATGACATCTCTGTCATTGTATCCAAATGGGGACTTTCCCCTGCTACCTGCCGGCTCCTCTTAGGTAGTTCACCTTCAGTCTCAGACAAGCCCTTCATTGATGGATTCTCTGGGGTTCCACTGGTCCAAAGCCACATACTGGGGCTGTTTTGCTTGTGTCTTCCAAATAGGAAGGCAAGAGGGAGATTTTTCCACTTGAGCCTGGAGGGAGACAAGTGGGCAACTATGTGAGGAGAAGAATGTTCCAGAAACTGCCTGGGCTCCTCTGGGACTCAGAGCCATCGTGAAGCAATGCCAAGCTCCATGTCAGCTCCTTCACGTTGCTGTTGGTTTGAGTCCATTCCCACCCCACGAGGTGGGGGCTGAGGTCTTGTGTCTCTGTTAACCCAGTAAAGCACTTGTCTTTGTAGCCTTCTGCTGCTGCCGCTGCCTAAATCCAGAGGGAAGATGGGGACCCAGAGGAAGGGACGTGTGCTGAGATCAGCAAAACACTTACTTTGTTTTTTGGTGCCGGGAATTGAACCCAAGGTGCTGGGCATGCTAAGCGTGTGCTGTGCTACCGTGCTACACCCCCGCCTGGCCCAGGATATTATGAGAGCACTTTATGGACCCAGTCAGCCACCCCTAATGTCACCAAGTCTGACCTCTCAATTGACAGATGGGAAACCAAGGTTGAGTACTTACTTACCGAGACAGTAATGAGGTAACCAAGAATCCCTGGCACGGAATGCCCAGCCCAGTGAGTTATCCCTTGATGCCAGGGTCCCTCCCACCGCTGTGCCTGGCCACGTGAGGAGTCTTGGAAGGAACAAGGGACAATGAGCCTGGTACAGAAGTTTGGAGGATAAAAGAGAAAAGATGTGGTGACTGCTGTCCTTGACAAGTGTGGTCAAGAGGGGCGGGCTTGTTCTGTGGGGCTGAAGGAGACAGGACAGCCCACAGTCGGAGAGGGGCCTTTGCATCCGTGTATGGAAGAACTTTCTTTCTTTTTTTTTTTTTTGTATTTTAGGGAAGGGTCTACAGGGTGTTCAGGGTCTCACTACTAGATTGGACTCATAGTGATCCGCCTGTTTACAGCCTCCCAAGAGCTGGGATTACAGGCGCACACCACCATACCCAGTGTCAATTGATGTCTCAGTGTGCCCTGGGGGCAGGGCCACCACTGGCACCAGCACTGGCACAGCAGACCTGGGGATCGAACTCCAGGCTCCTGTCCTGCTCGCAGATGCTTTAATCCACTGAGTTATTTGGCCAGCCTTTATTATTATTATTACTATTATTGTTATTGTTATTATTATTTGTGGCTTGCTCAGCCCACCCTAGGGGCAGAGCTGGTGTGGCATGTGGTGCTGGGGATCAAACCATAGTCCCTGTGCTTGTCTAAGCAGGTACTTTAGACCGCTGAGCTATCTCCCTGGCTATATATATATA